ACTCACCTTTCTGCAACATGAATTCCTGCCTCAGTAGTAGGATCAGCCTAGCAAAAGTAGCTCATACCTGTAATCCTAGTTCCTTGAGAGGCAGAGATAAGAAGACTGTGGTTCAAGATCAGTACAGGCTAAAAGTCAGGGAGATCCTATCTTAAAGACAAGCCAGGCATGGTAGTACACAGCTATACCAGCTATTTGGGAGGCAGAGGTAGGAGGATGACCATCCAAGGCCAAGCAAGGCAAAAATCACAAGGCCCTATCTCAAAAACAGCCAAAATAAAAAGGAGTGGGGATGTGGGTCAAGTGGTAGAGCACTTGCCTAGCAAGCATGAAGGCCTGAGTTCAATCCCAAATACCACCAAAAAAAGAAAGAAAGAAAAGAAAACAGAGGCCAGGAGAAGAAAGGAAGAAAACCACTTAGGACCTTTTGTGCCTCAAGCACCATTCATACACTCCCGCCCTCATTTTATCTTCATGACAGCCATGTTTTAAAGGCAGTTTTAGGTCCCATTTACTTACTCACACACATGTATCTTTAAGTGGCTCACAGCTTTGCTGCCTTGTCTGAGTTGTGACACTGGGTAACTGATAAAGTCCCAGCACTGGAACCCAGGCGTGTCCACCTCTCAAGGCCAAGCCCTTTGAGCTCTAGCCCCAGCCACTGATGGCCCTCAAAGTAACTCAGATCACACATAATTAGGGGGTAACCTGTGTGGTAGTAAGTGGTGATTCCCAACTGTGGCTGGCTCATTAAGCTCATCAGAGATGCCTTAGAAACAATACAGATCATCCCATCCTCCAGCCCATGTAATTGCAAGCTCCAACTGAGGTGAGACCCTGACACCTGTATTTTCACATACTTGCATTGATTCTGATTGCCATTTTATTTACAAAAAAGAGAGATTGGTGCTGGATCAGTCATGAAAAGTTATTTGGGCCAGGAATGACAGCTACACAGCTACTGACATAGACACACAGCTGGGACGTCTCCAACGAAGGAAAAAACTGAAAGAAATGCTATGGCAACCCCTAGAATGCAAACATCAAGGAGGCAATGGGGGTTTGCTGGGCTGGTCACTGTTTAATCCCAAGCACGGAACAGGAAGCTTCACCTGCTGAATAAACGCTTATGCAGTGAACACACAGGTGGGCTTGAATTACACAGACATGGACATGAACCAAGATGAATGAACGGAAGCAAGGACCTCAAGATTCAAATCAAAAGGACTAGGATTTAAATTGACAGTACTAGCACAAGTGATTGGAGTTAAGAAGAGTAGCTTATTTTCAGTAAAGGCTCTTCTTCATGACTTCTGGCTTTCCTCTAAGACTTTATTGTAGCTTCTAGTCCACGAAAGAATAAGATGATTTTGAGATAACTGGAATATACTGCTGACAGAGGCAGAACGGCAGATCTTTCTGCCTTCAGAAGAAGAAAATGATGGGCAGGATGTTTCAGTTTGTGGGGTTTTTTTTGGGGGGGGTAGGGGAAGGACAGCCTAGTAAGAACCTAAACTCAGAGGCATTCATCCTAGGACCTACTGGGTCATAGCCAGCAGACACACCAACAGCCCAGAGGCTTGACTGGACTCCCTATAAACCTTAATGACAGAGCTGGTCTTGCTTCATGTAGCTGTGTCAGTCTCAAGGGCCTGACCATCCCAAGGAGACCAAAGCTACTTCTGGATAGCCAGCCAGGTCTCTGAGGACTTCCAGAGACTTCCAAATAGTTCTGGTCAGGGAAGACTAGCTGATTTTTTGAAATTCTTTCCAAACTAATGATGATCCAAGGAACCATTTGAGTGATCACATTATAGACAGTCCTCTAGTGGGCTGCTGTTTGAATGGTAGACACCATCAAAAGTGGATATTGAACATTACATGAAGCATGCGTGAATTAAAACCTCATAAACTACTCCATAAATAGGTACAATTATTATTTGTCAATTTTTTAAAAACCAACAAACTAGATATCCCAGCCCCAATAGCAGGGGTTGAAGGTCGTGCTCAAATTCCTTCTTAGACACCCATCTTCTGCAAACCTGATATTACAAGAACTTTCCTTCTTAAATGACATTTATCTACTGCTGATATTCAACTAAGATAAAGAGCCCTTGTATCTCCCAAACTGTCTAGCAAAAATCATGTCTCATTAGAACAGCCGAAATAGATTTTTTTAAGAACCGCAAAGACTTATGATTTCAATTTAGTTTTCCTTATAATCCAAACTTTCCAGAGCCCGCCTTTCATAATGTCCTTCAAGGTAATGCATGGCTCCAAATGACTTGACAGTTTCTTTTAATTTACAGACATCTAAGCATGTTTATAAAATTCCACTAGTTCAAAATGCTTCCTTTTCTTAAACATATTTCCAGTTCAAATTATGTGTTTAAAGCAGTCTGCAATATATTAGTTCTAAACATAAACAAGTCAGGTAAAAAAAAAAAAATGGACAGAAAAACTAGCAGCATCTCTCTACTGCCACACTCAGTCAGTCTTTCCCTTCGCCCTGTGTTCCAGCCCTAACCTGCCAGTAGGAAGCCTGAGTGCATCACTGAGACAGGCTTTCCCTGTATCCATAAGGGAGGGGCCACCATCCATTTATACAGCTCCCAGCCTTAGTGTGGGAGAACCACACCCTACCCCTAGCTAAGTATAAAACTCAGAATCCACTAACTGCAGATACTTTTCCTTTCTTCCTTTTATTTAAAGGGAATCTTTGAGCTCAGACAATGACTACTTCTGAATCCCAGGACACAGTTGCAGGTTTCATATCAAAATGCAAAGCCCTGGAAATAATGTTATGTAACAGCAAAAAATTCTAAATTAAGCCTTTCAAGTCGGTTTGTACTTATGCCACCAAACATGAAGCAAACAGAGACTGAAAGATAACGTAAAAAGACCATTATTAGCCCTTCTGGTCCTTGAATCAGTTTGTACTGAGAGAGACTGACTCACTCCCCAAAGACTCTATGTCAGAGTCTCCAAGTTCACATTTTAAAAACATCTAATCGCCCTTTCCGATGATACTCCAATGCCTGCAAACCGTCTACCACAATGAAGGGATTCACTCAGAAAACGTCCAATTCTGGTTCCAATTGAGAAATAGTAGAACCCTACAGGTACAGATTTCACCAGGAGGCCAGGTATAGGTCAGCAAGAAAAAGAAAAAAAAAAAACTTCTTTAAAGAGCAAGCTCAGATTTATGCAAAAAATTCAAAGGGTTTTTTTTTTCTTTCTCCAAAACACTAACATTTGCCAGCACATCTCTGAACAGGGCTCATGGGCGGAGAGGGAAATGATTCTCCTACCCTAGGCAGCTTTTCAGTAAAGCTTGTCTTGAAAAAAGTCGTTCCATAAAGTCCCTTTCGCCCTGTTTTGCAACACAGATGAGCAATGTTTTTTTTAAAATAAACAGAGAATTGCTCCCTTTTTGTGTACAACCAGCCAAAGTTCATAACTGGTGCCAACGGATGAAACCATCATTTGCCAATGAGAAAGAAACACTGCTAAGGCTCGGAGTTGTACTTCACAACCTGGAGCACCCGAGTTCTGGCTATCTTGTATGATTTCCAACGCTCCGTGCTCCAACATTGGGATTGGTATGGAGGCCCTCCTGGAGCACACCGAAGCGCCTACACCCCCAACAATTCCCCATCTGTAGCTCCACGCCAAAGGGGCTTCCCCATTCGACATCGCCTAGGTTCAAATAAAGGAGGAAGTGGGGGGAAAGTTCCCAATGCAACCGGAGATGATACACAGTCAAGGGATGGTTCGAGTCATCAGAAATGGACAAGCTATTGGGTGGCAAAGCAGGGGCTATGCCGAACTATAACTGGCCGCGCTCTCTAACGGAGAGGCAGCACTGGGGCTGCAGACCAGATCGGAGGTGCTCAGGCTTCCACCTGGCGGGACAGAACTCCTGGTGTCCAGGTAGGGGCAGCCGCGGGCGTGGGGAGGCCAGGGAGGCAGTTCCCATTAGAGGGCGCTCATTGGGCAACGTAGGGAAACCAGCTCCCAGCGCGACCCAAAGGAGAAATCAAGTTCCCTCTGCTAGGACGTAGGAAGGATGCTCGGTGCCAGCCGCAGACTCTGCCCGAGTAAAAACTACGCCGGGTCCGACCCGAGAGTGCGAGGGTGGCAGGAGGAAGCCTCGGCCCCCAAGCGACCAGGCGACCTGAGGCCGAGCACAGTGTCACACGTACCCCGCCTCGCCCAGCTTGCAGCACTCCAGTGCAAACGGTATTAAAATGTCCTCCGGCCCCAGAGGCCACTAGACGCCCTCCGCGGGGAGCGGGGCGGGTAGTCGCCGCGGACTAAGATTACAACAGTCAGCGCCCCAGTATTTTCGGGTGCGTTCCGTGCAACCCCGTGTCCCCGGCGGGACTGCGGACTGAATTTCCACGTAGTGTCGGTACCTCGCCCCAGCCACAGGGAGCATCAAACAAAAGAACTTTTACAAACTTTCCTCTCTGGACACTCGCCGATTTCGTAAATCTGGGCTCTGTCTCACCAAACATGCATTCATTCGAGTTGGAAAGGTGGGGTAGGAGGAGTGTGGAAGAAGGGACCCCAAAGTTTTCAGGTCATCCCTAGGACTCCAGAGCGCGCGGAGCGCACCCAATCCCTCACGGGCCCTGGCCTTGCTCCTTTCGCCAGCCTCCTTTTTCCCTCAGTCCTTTCTGACCCCCCAGAAGAACGAATAAATTGGGGGTGACTTGAGGGTCTCTGCAGTTAGACAAAACTGCAATTCTGTGCCCCCGTCCCCCAGGAACCGTGAGGGGAAGCTCTACTGTTATTAGGGCTTTTCTGCGAGGGGAAAAGGGAAGGGAGGTGGGGAAAGGGGTGGAGATGGGAGCGCTTAGATCCCAGCAGATCCCCCGTGGCCCAGCGCGGCGTAAGGAGACAGGGGATCCCCCAGGAGCCCTCCCCGAGTCCCCGTGGGCACCTCTCATAGCCCGGCACCCTGATCAGCTGGCGTCCCTGCCTGGCCCACTCACCGACTCCGCCGACACGCAGGCCACCAAGCCCAAGGTGAGCAGGATCCACGCGCGCTGCATATTCCCTGGGGACCAGCTGCTCCCGGCCGCTGCGTGCAGTGAGGGCGAGACGAAGCCTCCTCTGGTCCTGCGCTCGGCGCAGCCCGCGCAGAGAAATCGGGAACCGAGCAGCCGCAGCGACCGCGACTGGGGCTCCGGGCTCGGGGCACGGGGCTTCGGGGCGCTGGATCTGTCCTCTTGCGCCTGCTCCCGCCGCCCGCGCTGCGCCCCGGGAATGCGGCGCCTTCTCACTTGTTGGTTTCCGCACTGCCGGCGCGGAGTTGGAGCTTCGGAGAGGCTGCTCTCGACAAGCTCTTCTTGCTCGGCTGGGTTTTTTACTCCTCCGCGGACTCCTTCCCCGTGTCGGGATTCCGTCTCGGATTTTCAGGAATAAATCCGATGGCTTAAAATGGAGCTGTAGATGAAGTTTGGGGGCAGAGCGGCGGGGGCGCGCGATCCGCGCGGCCGGAGCTCCCGGAGTATCTGGAGAGCAGCGCGTCCGAGCCCGGCTAGTGGCTCGCCGGCAGCGCCCCTCCTCCCGGGTCCTCCTCCCCCTCCTCCTCCCGGGTTCTCCTCCCCCTCCTCCTCCTCCACCGCCTCCTCCCCTTGCTCTTTCCCTCTTTTCCTCCCTCTCTCCCCAGCCTGCTTCCCCGGGCTCCACCAGGCGACTGGGGAGCGGAGGCGGCCGAGTGACTCCCAGATAAACCCGGCAGACATTCCTGCAGGATTACACCCCGATTGGCAGCAACCAGGACCAGTGGGCGCCCTTGGCTCCGCTCTGTGGCCGCTCGGGGAAGGCTCCTCTGCAAGCCGGGGAGGGCTCCTTCGTGTTCCCGCTCCCTTTTTATCCTTTTCTGCCCCAGTCTGTACACCCTTTTCGTCCCAATTTTCCCCTTTCTCTTTTTCTTCACTGTCTAAAAAAAGATCATCGGTGACAGGAGTATCGAGTTTTTCTGCTTGGGAGCCTTCCATCAGTAGAAAGAAATCGCTTTGACAGTTAAAAAGAGAAAGTTGGTAGATCGCTTCCATCAATGTGAAGTGTTCATAAATCGCCAGGTCGTGAAAAGTGCATTTTTAAAGAAAGGACAGTAATTGTAACACATGTGTACTGGGAACATTACCCAGACCCCTCCCCCCCCAAAAAAAAAGGGGAAGTGCAGGAAGGATGTTTAAACCCAATATGCAACAGTTCCAAAGCGCATAATTTCATTAAGGGCTCAAATACCATTTCTGCCTCACACACAGTTTATGCCCCGAAGGGGTTTTAGAGGCTCCATTTCCGCATTGTGGTGTTGACTTTTGGAAGCTACAAATAGGGCAATTTGATGAGAAATTGGATAGAGCCCCTCCATAATAACAGACTTAAGAGAATTTCAAAGAAGGAAGGATAAAGTAATTTCTAGCTTGAAGAAAATAATGAACTTCTATTTTCTGAGTGGAAGTAATTGATCTGAACTATTTTGTCACGAAGTGATGTTTTTTCCTTTTGATTCAGTGTCTATAATATGCTATGGTGAACGAATGTACCCTTCCAGTTTCTACCAGTTTTTGTCTCTGACATATAAGTAAACTATGCAACCATTTGTTCTACCGTGCCCACTCCAAGAGGTCAGTTCACCACTGGATTCTCATTTCTGATACATAAAAATGCAGTCAGGCACGGGGAGCAAGAGCTCAAGATACAATTAGTGTATTTGAGTAAGTGTTGCTTAAATACACTAATTCATACCACGTAAGAGTTGTAAACCTTTAAGGTAGATACAGACATATGGGTACAAGACTATAATAATTTTTAACTCAGAATTACAATAAAATAGTCATTCCCACGTGTGAATGACAATGTTTTAGTGACCTATCACTGTCATAAATCTCAAGGAAGAAAATTTAACAGAATTATATTTGCTCATGGGCAAATCTAAGACGCTGGCAACCAAAATGATAAAATGGAAAAACAGAAGAGAAGCAAAGAAGAAAAGGAGCACAGAGACTCGAGATGCTTCTGATTCCCCAGACGCTGACCTGGCACTTGGGCCAATGTAGATCCAACTTGATTTTAGAAAGACTGAACTATGGCCTTATTTCTAAGATGAATTCTTTGTGGGTTGAAAAATGTCATGAGATGGGGAGGGTTCTGGAGGAAAATTAGCCATTTGGAAGAAGTGCAAAAAGCTGTAAATTATCACCTCTAGTGCACCTGGTCCACTTTCCAGCCTTGAGGCAAAGCCATACTTTCACACCTCTGTTGTCCCCAACAGTTAAGAATCCATCAAGTGAATTAGAACTCCAGTGGACAGGGTAATGCATTCATTCACTGGTTCTTACAGTTATTGCAGTGTATGGAACTTCCTCCTGACAAGGAGCGGAGGGGCTCTGGTTCAGCTTGGGCGGACACTGACAGCAATGAAGCAGCAAGTCCAGCCATTGAAGGGATGTATTTTGTCAGGTACCCTGACAATGTACTCCAAAGCTGCTGGTGTTTCTGAGACTTTCAGTGACTTATTCTTTAAAGATAAACATTGATATTACATGTAATAAGGGAATTGATACCATTTTGAGAGTCATACACGAAAAAGTGTATGAAAACAAACACCCAAAGTCTTGTGTTCAAACACATCAACAGGTGTGTCAAGAGGGATAATTTGATACTATAGAAAACACTTCGGCAAGAATTGGTTACAAGTAGGTCGCGACTCTGAGTGAGGATGGGACAGGGAATGCCCACTAATGTTGGGCACATGTCTGCATTTGGAAATAATGAAGGTGTGTTTGTGCATATTGCTAACTTGGATTTTGAAAAGTCAATGGGGGCTAAAATTCAGTTGACTTGTGTGGAGTATGTCTGCTTACACTAAGTATAGCTTGCAATTAGAAGCAAGAGTTCTTTGCTGCTGTGTTTTCAGACCCTCCACCTTAAGGGCTGTGCTTTGAGGGGTATGGCATGTAAAATAGCTTAACCAATCAATTTTCAAATAGCTTCACTGACTGCTAACAGAATAAACACCCACTTCAATAATCTCAGAAGAGCCAGGTGTGGTGCTCATGTTCGTAATCCTAACACTTAGGAGGCTGAGGCAGAAAGATCAAGAGTTAGAGGCTATCTTGGGCTACACAGTGAGACCCTGCCTCAAAAAAGAAAAAAAAAAAGACAAACACAAAAGAATTTCAGAAGAAAGCATATAAAAGTAACAGAATACAGATGCCAAAATGCAGAAATATAGGAATTAAAGAGAACCAGATAAATATTTAAAAACAGAAATGAAAACTACTGAATACATAGTTTTTAATCTGAAATGGCACATTGGACACTGCGTTAGGTATCTAATAATACCATATTACAACCATGAACAAGCAGATGCTTTGTACCAAGATGAGCTGTCAGAGTAGGGGAGGCTGCAGAAGGAAAAAGATGCCACCTCGTCGTTCTTGGTTGTTCTTCCACTTGCTACTCCCTGAACTGTTCCCAAGGGTTTAGGCTAGAAATCATTTTGGTACTACCAGCCCTGACCAAATTCACTTAAGAGGTGATAGAACCTGAGAGAAGAGGCAATCCAGCCAACCAACTGTTAATTACCCATTACTAAGAATGGCAAGTGAGCTGAGACCCTGAGAAAAATCTACAGGCAATCTAAAAAATTATTTTTAGCCTCAGATTTTCCACTGTTCATTCATTTCTTTCATTCCTTTACCAGAGCAGTTGGTTGGTTTGAGTTTTATAAATTGATACAGTGCTAATGTTGAAGAAAACTGTTTCAGACAGCAGGACACAGGAAAGTTAAGGAATTGTGCCATACTTAAATGATTCCCTGAATGAAACAGGAGGCAAAAACTCAGATATGGTTTTTAAAAGGCTGGCAAAACTTGACATTCATTCAGTCAACAACTTCCTATGGCTCACCTGCTAGGTGCTCAATGGATAAACGTGAATTTTCTTGAACTATGTTAGAGTTAATACATTTTTAAACTAAGAGTTGGCTGGTTATTGTGGTACATGCCTGCAATCTCAGCAGTTGGGAGGCTAAGGCAGGAGAATCATGAGTTCGAGGCCAGCTTAGGCTATCTAAAAAGACTCAAACAAAAGCAAACTACGAGTTGCTCATAAATCACAAGCCTGCGATTAAGGTATGTGACAAATTTCATCCTAAAATCAGATATGATAACTTAAAGAAAAACATTGTAGAATTCGTCATTCTTGGATATCAAACATTTTCCTAAGAGCCATACTTTGATGTGTTAATTTAGGAAAGTAACACATAATTATTTTCAAGTTATTTTGGATTGCATTTGTATATACGTTGTCCAGCAGGAAAATCTCATCTTAGATGAATTCATGTAAAATGGTTACTTTTTAAAAACAAATAAGCCGGGCATGATGGCACTTACCTGTAATCTCAGCACTCAGGAGGTGGAGATAGGAGGATCAAAAGTTAAGATCCTAACTCAAAAATCACATACATACACACACACAAAGCCAGAAAAATTAAAATTGCATACATTGATATGGCATAGTGTGTTGTTTTGAAATACTCACACATTGTGGACTGGCTATATCAACTGAATTAACATAGACATTGCCTCATAAAGTCACTTCTTTGAAGTGAGAACACTTAAAATCTTCTCTCTTAGTAACAGTCAAGGATGTAATAAATTGTTATTAACTGTAGTCACCGTGGTTACAGTAAATTGTTTAAATTTATTCCTCTTTCCTAACTGGCATTTGGTATCATTTAACTGGCATTCCTTAATCCCCCTTCCTGCCCTCAGCCTCTGGGAACCACTATTCTATGCTCTACTTTTTCTAGATTCTGCATATAAGTGAGATCTTGTATTTGTCTATCTGTGTTTGTCTTATTTCACTCTAATAGAAAGTCCTCCAGGTTCATCCACATCATCACAAATAACAGAATTTTCCTCTTTTAAGTCTAAATAATATTCCGTTGTGTGTATCATATGTTTTTACCCATTCATCCACTGATGAATGGCATCCTGTTCTTATTACTGTGTGGACTGTTACTTTAATGACAGTTAGTTCTAACCTCCTTCACTGTTCTTGAAGACCCATCCTCTCCAAGGCCCTGGAAGCGAATCCTGAATACTGCATACTAAATGGTCCCAACCTTCCTTGTCCACATTTATGTAGACCAAGGCTGGTCTACAATTAATTAATGGGTCAGTAGCCAATCACTCTTTGAATTACTTGATTGAAGGAACTCAGAGACTGACTTGATTGTCCACTGACCTGGGAGTCATCCAAACCAATAAGAGGCCCTGTGCTGAAAAAGAACAGGTTGATTTACAAAGGCAAGAATAAACTTAGAGAAGAGAGAGGTTGACACAGAGCACATATTTCCTTTTCTAGCCTGTTTTGAGTCCCGGTCAACT